CCTAAATAATCTAAGAAACTAAAGTTCCAGCTGGCATAGACCCTTGGAATCAGATTTATGTTGATTTCAAGAAAATAAAGAAGTAGAACATTTCTTGCAGACTTGTGTTTATAAGATTCAGACTTGCTATAGTTGTTAGGCATTGGAGGATCTAAAGATAAATTTATCTCTGCTCTCTAAAAGCATACCACCTGTTTGTGAGCTGCAGAAGATCATAAGACACCTACATGAATAACTATCATTCACAGTACTGTGAGATCTTGATCTGTCACAAACTGCAGAAAAAGTTCTCAGTCATGAGAGGTAGACAGTTGAAGTTCGCAAATGGCAGATAACCAGGAAGATGGAAAAGAGTGTCTTCCGAAGGAATATATAAAAATGCACCCTCCCCTAATCATTGTGTGCCAATGCTATTATTATATAATTGCTATAGCAGTAAATGCATAAAATTTTGTAGACATTAACGTTCTTTTGGAAATATGCCTGCTTGATATGAAAGAGAATTTTGGAACCTGGTGATTCAATAGAGAACTGTATAGTTTGTGATTTCCATAAAAGTGGTTAGAGTGTTATCTTCATAGAGTTTGAGAAGTCAGAGAGACCTCAGAGGTCAACTAGCCCCTCCTACCCTTCCCATTTTACAGGGTTTAAACTGGGGCCCATGTAGAATCTGGATTTACTGAGGTCTCACAGTTGTCATTTTGAAAGATCATTGAAATGGTCAAAGTCTTGGTGTAACCTGGGCCAAATGTGCACCTCCACTGCTTAACAGCTGTGTGACAAACCACTGCTGCTGTCTCTTGCCTGGACATACCTAGATTCCTAATTGGAAGTTTAGCCTCTGCCACAGCTGTGCAATGGTTACTCATCCAATTCATTTTTTTTTCTTTGCGTTACTTTCTTGTTTACAAACTTAAATGATTACTTCATTTAAAAAAAAAATCTAAACTTTGTGATTTGGCATTCAGGACTTTACGTGATCTGATTCCAACCAAGTATTCTAAGCTTATCTCCTTCTGCACTATATGCTTACACTTTGTCTGCCAGCGACATCTTCCTGGTACTTTCCACGCTATTCTCTCAGTCTCCTGTGCTTTTGCTCATATTTTCCTCTCTGCTTGGAAGGCCCTTCTCACCAATCCTTAACTGTTCTTCAAGGCTCGATTAATGTTATCTCCTCTGACGAGTCTTCCCTGGGTAAGGGATACAGGGCATTACATGGACCCAAGTTTGGAAACTTACTCTGCCACTTAGGTTCTGAAAGACTGCAGGCAGGTTACTTAGGTTACTTAATTTCTCTGGGGCCTAGTTTTCCCATCTGTCAAATGGGTAAGTCTACACCCACCTTGTGACCCAGTTGTAAGATGTAAGTGGGTTAATTCTATTGTACTCAGCACAGTTCCTTGTACCTGATAAATGTCCAAGAATGTGACTGATTACTGGTGTTACTCCAGGGCCCTGTGGTCTTCTTTTCTCTGAATTCCCATTCTCTGTGAGTTCTCTTATATTCTAAATTGTAATATCTAATTTTGCATTTTGGTTATTGGAATGCACATTTTATTTCCCCATTCAATTGATAGCTTCTTGAAGACAGGATGATGTTTTCTTCCAGACTGTCCCTATTGCATTGTCCTTTACCACAGTAGTTCCTCAAACTTAGGCAAAGGCTGACTTTCCAAGTGTGAAAATCCTGACAAGAATTTGTTTTGCTGCAATTTTTCCTCCTAAAAGTTGAACAGTTTTTTTAAAACGTCAATTTACTTAGATATGAGAATCCCAATTGTTGGGCTTCTTTCTTAGAAATACAGAGAGAATTTGTGAAGTGACCGGCAGAGATTGGTAAATTTCAATTAAATCTTGGGAAACTTTGATGTAACGCTTGAAGGACATGTGGCCTCAACTTACCAGGACAACTCAATCTCACCATTTGCCAGCATGCACTGTGATACTTCAGAAAAAATGGTTTTATGGTCAAATGAGTTTGGAAAACATTAGATTTTAATTAATAACCCAATCACAGGAGCCAGAGCACACATTAGCCAACTAAAACATGCGACATGTCCTGCGGTAAAGAAACTGACATTTAATAGCTGATAAGAATAACTAATATTCTCTAAGCTCTCATTATATGTCAGGCATTTTGATAGCAGACTCTTACACAGAATCTCTGATTTAATCCTCAGAATGCCCTTAGAAAATGTATATGATTACTATCTTCATTTAACGGATGAAGAAACTAATGTTTGAATGGGCTCAAGTTCACATGTCATTGAAGGAGCAGAGCTGGGATTTGAAGTCAGACATTTGTGACCCCTAAGCCAGAGCTCTGATCCACCATGGTGCACAGCTTTCAACATTCTAAGACTTGCCTGGCCGGAAGTACTTTTGGTTATCCTCCTATTATAATAATGTCCCATGAAAGTTCTGTTCATTGGAAGATACTTGGGGAAATAGAGCCTCACCACACCCAAGCTACTTGGCTTATGGGCACATCCACGGTCTTTGCACCTCTGCCTTTGCTGCCGACCTCTGCCTGGGAACCCCTGGCCTTCTTGGCTCTCTCATGATATTTTACTCATTTTTCAATGTCTAGTTCAAGTGCAGCTCTGTGGGAAGCTTTCTTTGATTTTAGCAGGCTGATTTGCAAAGCCCCTCTGTGTTCTTGTCATTCTTCCTATGCTGTTTTTAATGTTTGGTCTATCTTTATCAAGGACACGTTCAAAGAGCCTTGGTAAAGCATCTGACAGAGTAGACACTCAGTTAAGATTTACTGAATTACCATGGTGTGTCATTCTAGCCCATCAGCCATTGATCCCTAACCTTGGGGCATTTCAGGTCCAGGTTCACAAACTTGTGGCTAGAAACCTGGACTAAGCCAGGCTCACACCCAAAGCTAATTCAGCATGGCTGCCACACTCCCGGCAGTTCATTAGTTAACACTCTTGTCCCTTGCAGATGCTGCCTTTCTCTCCCAGCCTGTCTGAGGCGAGGAGGTGCGATTAGGTCACTGTGGGCTTCTCTCATCAGCGCCCTTTTTGCGACAACCCTGACCTGTCCTTTCCAGGGCTCTGTCCAGGTTTCATTACAAAGCACCCCCTGTGACTGCGCCTTAGATGACTCAGCTGGCTAGGGCTTCATTAGCAACCCTAATAGCCTTTTTGTTTTTGTCCTCTTTGGGGCCTTCTGGGGCCCAGGGGTGGGACCTGGCGGGCCTGACTTTTAGAGATGCCGCCAGCCTCCATTGGAGCCCATGAGGAAGTTCGCGCTCAGGCTTCTCAGCAGTCACGTCATGCCACACTGTGCATTTCTCTGCCGCACCCGTCCCCAGGGTGCACTCAGGCGCCATGCAACCGCTGGCCATCCCAGCTCTCAAGCTGTCTGCAATGAGGTCATGGGTGGGGTCCCGGAGACCCCACTCCAAATAGGGGGGGGGGGGCTTCCCCGACTGGCCTGGGGATGGGCTGAGAGGACCGAGAAGTAGACAATCATCTTGTCTGTCTAACCTACTGCTCCCTGTCTTAATGTTCTATGAGCTGGTATAGATAGCAGTGGAGGGAAAAGGAGAACAGAAGAAGACATGGGAAAGAGAAGGATAGGAAATGGGCAGTGGCCAGGCACTTACTGCACTAACTATGGGAGAGAGGCAACTAATGGTGTCTCCTGATCACCTTGCAATGAGCCGATCGAGCTGCTGTCTTGCTTTTCTATAAATAGTGTTCTCCTTCTTACCTTAATCCCTTTCTTATAGTTGAGACTGTGAGGCAGGGGAGGCCACAACAGTTCACTTTACGTAACTAGAATTTGACACAGAAGGAAAAAAAACGTTCCAGAAACTGATAAAGAGCTGGTGTAGCAAGAAGGCAGAGCCCTCTCAGCCCAAGAGCAGGGTCCCAGGTGGCCCTCACATTGCTCTATCCGGTCTAATGGGTGAGAAATTAGCCTTGCTAATGTTTCTGTACCAATGGATTTTGCAGCCTGAGGTCACCAAAATGTTTCATACCCCTCAAGCTCTGTCAAATCCGCAGGGTTTTATAACCTTTGCCTGTGAGCACGCATGTGTGCATGAAGGAATTAATGTGGAGCTGTGATAAAATCTCAGCCTGCCTGAAGAGTGTTCAGATTTCTGTGACAATCTAGTTTTTTGCACCTGGAATTCTGCCTCAGAAAGATGGGAACACTGATAAACAGAGACATTCTCAGGAAAACAGGAAAAATACATCACATATTTATATGCCCCTCCACCTCAACCCACAAGGTACTTCTCATGTGACCAATGCACAGAAAAACAAGAAAATTTCTTATTCTCTCTACTCCCTACCTGTGTATGAGGCAGAATCGTAAGGCAAAGTCACCCTATTTAGATAACATTTTCAGCCAATTGTGACTTGAATTAATGAATGTTGAGTTGAACGGTTTTATCCTCCCAGGATGTATAATGTCTGTAACATCCTCCCGCGTCAGTTACAAAGAAAAAGGCAAATGATTTATTTAACTTTTAAAAACATATTCGCAAAACAAGTTCATAAGAAGCCATAGTAACTGTACTTAGGAGGATTTTTGGAATGATATTAAAATCTTCCTTGGGAAACATTTCTAAGTTAATAGAAGAGTCACAGCTCCGGAAGCTGAGTTGCGTATAACAGAATAAGAAAACATAGATAAACTGACCTTGGGAATGAGTTAGCCTGTCACCACACTGACAAATGCTAAGTTAATCGGATTGGAGATTTTGAAGACTCCCCTTCTATTTTCTGAAACAAATGGCATTTTTCATATAGTGAAAGATGTTTATAGAGGTTCATGAGTCAAGCAGAATAGAAAGTAGGAGGACGCTCTCCTGCAGAGGTTTTCTAACCTCTGGTTTATCATTTGCTGACATACTTTTTGCAAGTTCTCCCATTTCTTTACAAGTCACTGTCTTAAGTTCTCCCAGTAAATATTTTGATGAAGGCCAAACAGGAGGGAAAAAGAGAAAAACTGCAGTGAAAATGGTAGCTTACCTTGTCTGGACATTGCTGATATCAAACTGTCCTCCAGAACATGAGGCTTTCTTGCTTTGGTTGTCCCATGAATTTAGCAACCATTAAAATTTAAAGCAGAAATATGTGTTTATTATTCGAAGCTGCTCCAAAACAATGCAAAAATAACTTGATGAAAAATAAAGTGCTCGTCTGAGCATGAGAATGCGTTTGAAGCTTGGAGCTCATGCTGTTGTACGAAGTTTTGCAACTGTCTTTCTCAGTTTAAACAACCTCCCACTCCTTCTCCCAGGCACTTGCCAACTTCTATAATTTAAAGCAACTGCGATCTTTCCCATAATACTCACATTTCAAAGAGCTTAATATATACACTAGTTAAGAATGAGTAGGAGTGGGTAGTGTTCTTCTGCAAACCCCAGACTGAAGCAAATGAAAAGCAGGAGTCTCAGGTATCGAAACAGTTCTCTTTCTCTTTTTTATCCATTGCTCTTCTCACCATGTTATTTCTAGTTGCTTTGCCTTTTAAAGTGATGCCTAAAGACCAAATGGTATCATTTCACTGGCAGCAAAAAAAGTACATAGGAAAGTGTATGCCTCAACTTATGGAAAAATGACAAGAGTGAAATTGTGTTTAAACATCACTTTGGCTAACAGAATTATTTCCATGCAATTTGTGCCTAATTTATCTGGTTGAAAAATCTGAATTATTATATGCGATGTTTTCATAAAAGGGGAAACTATCTAAAGTGATGTTTGCATTAGTCTTAGTCTTATTTTAAACTTTATCCTATATGTGAACCATGAACTAGGGAAGATACTTACTTTGCAGTGTCTGTCTGTGGCTGAATAAATCTTCTGACATTTGATCTGTAACCAATGTTACAAATGTTATTATTTTTACTACTTTACATCAACTGCCACTAAACCACACACACACAGAAACACACACACACACACACACACACACACACACACAAGCATTTGTGAATTCAAATTACAGTGTGATCAACTGAAATGGTGATTTGAAAAATATTTGATAGTATATCTCAGAAGAGATCTTGCTTAGTACCTGATAGATAATAGGCATTCAAATAATGCTGAATAGCCGGGCGCGGTGGCTCAAGCCTGTAATCCCAGCACTTTGGGAGGCCGAGACTGGTGGATCACGAGGTCGAGAGATCGAGACCATCCTGGTCAACATGGTGAAACCCCGTCTCTACTAAAAATACAAAAAATTAGCTGGGCATGGTGGCACGTGCCTGTAATCCCAGCTACTCAGGAGGCTGAGGCAGGAGAATTGCCTGAACCCAGGAGGCAGAGGTTGCGGTGAGCCGAGATCGCGCCATTGCACTGCAGCCTGGGTAACAAGAGCAAAACTCCGTCTCAAAAAAAGAAAAAAAAGTGCTGAGTAAAATGTTGCATATGTTCACAACAACCAACAGTTTTGACCATTTTGGTTTGCATATATGTTCCCATTAAAGTTTGTTAATATGTCAAAGCTTGTATAGAAGTAAACATAGGACAATACATACTTTGCCAGTCACAGATTAATGAATAGTTGTGACATATTAAAGTTTCCTAAATGAATAGAAAACATCAGTTAAATAAATAGATCAATTGGTAGATAATAGAAATATTGACATGTATGTTCACTGTGCAAAGTTATGCTGTGGGTTTCCCATTCTTCCCTTTTCCAAATCAGATTTTATATTATGGTTCTCTTATTGCTATTTCATGGTGTGTGTGTGTGTACCTGTGTGTATAATATGGTTTAGCTGTTTCCCCACTCAAATCTAATCTTGAATTGAAGTTCCCATAATTCTCAAGTGTTGTGGGAGGGACCCAGTGGAAGATAATTGAATCATGTGGACAGTTCCCCCATACTGTTCTCATGTTAGTAAATAAGTCTCGTGAAATCAGATGGCTTTATAAGGGGAAATCCCTAATGCTTGATTCTCTTTTTATTTTTGTTTTTTTCTCTCTCACTTGATTCTCATTCTCTCTTGTCTGCTGTCATGTAAGACATAAATTTTGCCTTCCACCATGATTGTGAGACCTTCCCAATCATGTGGAACTGTGAATCCATTAAACCTCTTTTTCCTTATAAATTACCCAGTCTTAGGTATGTCTTTATCAGCAGCATGAAACAGACTAACACTGTGTGTGTGTGTGTGTGTGTGTGTGACAGAGAGAGAGAGAGAGAGAGAGAGAGAGAGAGAGGGAACTTATATGTTTCATTCATAGATCACTTCCTTTCTAGTTCATAGGTCACTGGATCAAGAGATGGTCACACCCAGAGTTATGCAGAGAACTCCACATGCCCCAGAAGTCCAGGTCACCTTGGAGGTGAATGTAGTGAGCAGGTGGAATTAGAGGTTGCTTACTGTTGGTGGTTGAGGTTGGGCGGGGGGCAGTGGCGGGGGCGGTAGGCATATTCTGTGTTTGAAAAGAGGAGAGGACATTGATTCTTGGTAACAAGGGAGTAAATATGGCAGATACTTTTGATGCTTACTGATGCTTACATATTCCTCTATATTTCTCAGCCTCATTTGCAGTATGGTTGATTGTGTGATTGATTTTTGGTCAATGGGATGTGAGCAGAAGTAATGGGGTGATACTTTTGGGCTGAGGTAGTCAAGAGCTGATGTGCCTACTCTTTCTCCATCTTCTCTCCATGTTACTGGAAGCAAATAACTCAGAGGAGGTGGAGTCTGGTAATAGATGGAAGGCTGAACCCTGGGGCATCCCTCAGTGGTCTGCTGCCTAGGAGAGCTGCTTGGCCTGCATCGAATCTTACTGAATAGTATACACACTTACACTGTGTCTCTCCATAGAGTTTTGGCATATATTTGTCAGAGTTAGCTAGTGTCAGTTGCTCTAATACAAGTACTTTGAAAGCTTCTTGGACTATTAAATAAAATATTATATTTAAAGAATGGAGATAAGGCCCCAACACAATAATAAATGCTCAACAAGTGATAGCTGTTTTATGGAACACCATATTGAGGTATAATGGCACACAATACACTGTATGTATTTAATGTATAACTTGATGAATTTGGAGACAAATATACACCAGTGAAACCACAATCAACGCCACCTATATATCCATTTTCTCCAATGTTTTTATCCCTCCTTATTTATTATTATTTTGCGATAAGAACACTTAATGTGAGAATAATGATATCTATTGTATTAGCAAATGTTTAAACATACAATAAGTATTGTTAACTATAGATACTATGCTGTATGGTAGATATCTAGGACTTATTCATCATACATAACTGAAACCTTTTTCCCTTTGATAGCTATTTTTATGTTAACCATAAATTCCTACTTTCTTGTTCTTGCAAAGATAATCCAGCTAAATGCCAGTTGTGAGTACTTGTATAAATTTGAGCTTTATAAATTGTGTGCTAATAGGCTAAGTAAATTGAAAATCATGGAAAGATTACTGAGAGAAATAGATGTTGAAAACAAAATTTATTCTCCATCTTTTAGAAGTGTATGCATTTATTAAGAAAATTATCCAACGAGTTATTGTTAGATTTTCATGTACAACCTTCAAAACAGAGTGTAAAGGAGATTTTAAAACTCTTGTTATTAATACAAGTTAAATACTCTCCATAGCATTTACTACTATCAACTCCACTTGCCTAAATGTTTGCTTTACTGTGTGTTCTGACATGCACTGTTCCAGGCTGCTTCTCAGGGGAAATCGAGTAAATGTCTTATAATGCTAAGAACTAATATTTCTACAAACTGCCATGCACTAAGGCCACATGCTTTTCCTGCTTGCTTTGACTGCTCTGAACAGAGCTACAGAAGGTCCTAGTTCGTACACTTTTTTTCCTCCTCAGATATTTGAAGCATTTCCACTAGAAATGCACCTTCTTTCATTCCACAAACCTTTTAAAAATGGGTCAGATCCTTTTCCCCTCTATGATTTCAAAGCAACAGTAACAATAATTACAAACATTCATTGCACATTAACTATGTGCAAAGCACTATTTTAATGCTCCATAAATGTACAAACTCATCGTATGTTGACAATAATCCTATGAAGTAGATACCAATGTTATCCTTGTTTTACCAATGAAGAATGTGAAGTACAGAGAGGTTAAGTGAGCTGCTCAACATCACACCGAAGGTAAGAAACAAATCTAGGATTTGAACCTCAGCTGTTTGGTTCCAGCAATCCAAGCTCTCAAGTGTTGGTGAAAACATATTCATGTCAAATGAAGAGAATATACTTAATCCATGTATTTTCTTTAGTATTCATTGCTAAGATGGGTATTTGAAATGAGCAGATTACTTCTGAAAGATGTTCTAAACTGCTAGAGGCATAAACATTTTCCTATCTGAATGCAATTTTAAGGCTTGAGCATTTTTCATGTTTTTCATATATTAGGCTTTTTGTGTTAACTGTATTTCTACTCCTTTGCTTGCATGCAGCATCCAAGTTTCGAATTATATCCTGAAACCCAGGTGGTTTCCTCTGGATTTCATAATACAGTCTTTGCTGAGTTCTATCAAACATGTGAAGACATTGAGGAAGAGGTCAAGGAGAAATGAACCTTGATTAAAAACTCCATCTTCCCCTTGGAATATGTTGCTGATGTTTGGAGATTGGAGCTCAACCGAAATGTTTTTATTCAGAGTGTCAGAAAATGATCCAACCCAACTTCAAAGGGAAGCCACTCAGGAGGTACTGAGCTTCTTCCCAATTGTCAGATGGTACACAGATGCCTGCCATGTGCTTGTCAATGTTGAGTACTGGAAACACGGAAGGTGCAGAAGTTATGTCTTTGAGTTTGCAGCGTCTGACTCACCTTTCATAGGTTTTGGTCATGGTGAACAAATCTGAAGGCCTTTTTTACTTTCTTGGTGATTTCGGGTAGCAGGTGAACTTATTGCAGATAGTCAAAACTAGAAAAGGAGACTAGAAAAGATATGTTTGTAGACTACAGGGTCATAGATTTGGAATAAGACTTGAGAGTGTTTTAATTCACTCTCTCACTCTATTCCTGATCCATCTGCATGACCTTGGCAGATGCCCACACCACTTCTGCTAGACTGCTCCTAGGGAAAGTGGGCCATGACTTCACATGGTATTAGAATAATTCCCTGAGCAACTGTGAATATTTATGCTCTGTTTTCCACATGCAAGAGCCTCTTAGACATCCAAAGGCAATTTTTAGCCTCCCCTGTACCCAACCAACTTTATCTTCCTTTCTTCAAGTTCAGTGATTTTAAGTGTTCTTCATGCAATATGATTTCAATTAAGTTA